TATATATATATATATATATATGTCGGGTATTTCTGCAGATTAGATAATTTTGAAGAGTGCAGCGCGTTCCTGCTATGTTGCTCTTCATCCTCTTGCTAATCAACTCTCCCATTTTTCACTAGCACGTTCGATTACATCCTTCGCAACCAACTGGCAACCTTGTCAGGACCACACTCGATATTAATGTTAACTAACATCTTATTCAATCAATATTACCCAATGCTATGCATGAACCGACATATCGATAAGATACATAAAAATAATACATTTTCAGTGTCCAACTTTAAGAGTAGCGTAATACAAACAAATGGATGGATCGAAAGATAAGTAAGCTTCTACATACACGACTATTGATTTGGGCACGATATATGTATGTAAATCTTTGGCATGATATCATTTTGAATCTTTAAAATCAAAGATTTCGATTCACATTTTTGATCTATACTATCAAAAACTTGAATTCATTTGCAACTCTCAGTCTCATTTATAAGAATCTATATACCTCAAGTTTCTTCACGATCTAAAGATCTTACCAAATTACAAACGTTTCTGTTTGTTTAAAGTAAACTTAAGACATTGTGAAACGCCCAGTCTTAAGTCCCCATAGACCCCGTCTGAATGTGTTGCCGCCTACGCAATTCTCTGGCGCGGCCAGTGCGAATCAGCATCGATATCTTATCTGACTTGGGCCACCGCCACATCGCCTGGCGGAGCTCGGCATATGGAGCGACTGCGGTAGGCGGAGCACTCACAGATGCAGTTGCAGTTGCCGTTGCAGTCGCAGTCACCAAATGTCTAGCGGCAAACGACAATCACGATTTGTGTCTGAAATATTTTTTGCGCATTTTCAATTTCCACTTTTTGTTAAAGGGGAAAAAGGCCACGCAGCGCAGCAGAGCAAAGTAAAGATATGCCTGTCCAGCCAATATGCATACCACCAATTTTTCTATATGCACAACTTTTTTGTCCAAATTGTTTTGGTTTGCTTTATCTTATACGTATGTGTGTGTTTGTTGTTTTTTTTAGCAAGGCGACGCTAATTGTTTCCGTCGGTTAATAAAAATATTTCAGGCCAGTTACAAATTGAAAACAAGGCGACGGCGGCAACTGCAACTGGAACTGCAACAGGGGCTGATGTTGGCTGCTGTTTATGCAACGCTTCAGTTTAGCACGACGGAGGCACAACAAAATTCAAATTGACATTTACGTGGTTGCAACACAAAAACACCAACAACACCACCACCAGCACCACTGCAACACCACTGCAGCACCATAGCCGCCACAAGAGCCCAACGAGGCTGGCAAATAAGGAGCAAAACACGACGGCAATGATGGCCAAGAAAATAAACAAAACTTTTTGGCGACACTTTTTGGCTGAAATCTCTTGCCAAGCGCCGCCGCCGTCGTCGCCGCTGCCACCGGCTGTGTTAAAGGTCAATGAGTCTTGTGCAGCGTCGGGGCACTGGACCTGAACCTGGAACTGGCTGTCGATATTCGCTGCCAAGAAATGAAAAGCCACAAAAAGAAACTCCTTTTTATTGTGTCTTGGCCTGTTGTGCAATAGGGCCAAAAAAGCGAGTGCGAGCAATTTGATAAAAGCTATTCATTCGGCTTAGATGAGCATTTATGATCATGTCCTCTACCGTCTGTCCGTCAGCCGAGCTGATTGTGTGAAATGCTTGGATGTTGGCAATTTGCGGAGACAATGGAAGAGATCGAGCGAACTTCTCTTGGCGTGCGAGAACACTTTCCCGCCGAATGGCAAAGCTCTGAAGCGGAACCACTTATAAGGCCCATAGCCAGAGCCAAAGCCAGAGTCGAAACCGAACCCAAACCCAAACTCGAGCTCGAACCCGTACTCAAACGGGTTGACCTCATTAAAGGCAGCGGCAATCAGCGGGTTGTTATAGCAAAAGTCACAGTCACAGTCTGGAAGCGGCTTTCCAGAACAACGAGAACAGCGAACAACAATAAAATTACAATAATCGCTTTGGCAACGCTTGGCGCTGAGGAGCTGCCAGAGTCTTTGACTCCAACTCCGACTACAACTCTGGGCCTTGGTCTGCCTCTGACTCTGACTGTCGCACTTTTGGGCTGTTCAAGCGAGCATGATGAACTTGCCATGGGTCCAAAGACAATGATGAACGATAGTTGGCGATGGCGATAGCGTTTAATATGAACTTACGAGTTGGAACTGGAACTGCGACTGGCGCTGGAGCGGGAGCTGGGACAGAGCAGGGTAGGAGGGGACTGACTGGAGATGTGGACTTGATATTGGCGCACTTGGTTGCTCTGGTTACGCTTTGGCGAATTCTTTAACGATGAGTTTGTTAACCTCTTCTCGCACTTGGCCTGTCAGCGTGAAATTGACTCGGGCTTGAGTCTCAGAGCGAAGCCGTTAACGGTGCGGCATTCTCAAATGAAGTGCCATTAGAAGTATCTGTGTGAGAAATGTGTGTGAGGCATGCAGCTAGCTGGGTTTCATTTCTTTTCCACTCGTTTATTTTGCTATTACCATTTTGCAGTGATTTGTTTTGCTAATGTCTCAAATATGAAGTTGCGATTATCGACCGATCAACAGCACAACAACAGCAATAACTACAAGAGCTACAGCTATAGCCACTGTCATGGCCACATTTCACTTTCAACGGGGCAACATCTCAACGAGAAATCGTGATGAAATTGATTTGCGGCTCGACTCTTAACGTTTGTCTTTCTATTCACAATCATAGTTACCGACAGCTGAAGGCAGCTACCAGCTAACTGCAGCCCCCACCACCCATCACCCACCACCCACCGCTCATCGCCCCGCGCAACTACTTCAATGGCTCTTCAGCAATAGCTGCATCATTTTCTTGCTTTCCAGCTATTTTGCATCTGCAACTAAATAACACTAACAACAACAGTAACAATGAATGATCATTTGTCTGTCTTGCTATTTTGATATTCGACTGTCAAATTGGCAAATGTCTGATGACTCTCCCCCCTCCCCACAGCTATCTGGGCATCCCCCCACCAAGCGTCTCTCTGCATTTGCCACTTTAACACGAAATCGAATTTAATTTCGTTACTTTATTTTCGCTTTGTCGTTGTTGTTGCTGCTGTTGCTGATTCAGTTGGTTTCTCTGTTTCTTTTATTTGGCATGTTTGCTGTCTAATTGAGCGAGAAATTACCGTTGATTGATTGTTTTGCATGCAATTTGTTATTGTTTGTAGCTTTGCTGTCAAAGTCAATTATAATTTATATACACAAAGTTGATGGCTAAGCAAGAAACACCTACACTTATACATTCGTACATACATATGTATATGCAATTATTGCAATTTCTGGCCAAACTTTTCATTCTAATCCAATAGGCAATTGCATTGCAACAAAAATGTTGCTTACTCCCCTTGGCCACAAGTTGCTAACGGCTAACGACCTTGTTGCTAAACATAGTGCAGTGCATAGTGCGTGCACTGCTTGCAAATACACTGCTTGGCTGCTTGTTTACGAATGGAATTGTCATGTTTATGGTAATTAAGAGCTAATGGGTTCTACGCCATTGCAAGCGTTAATTAACAACATGGTAGAGACTGGCTAGCTGCCACAACTTCAGCAGCATTAGTTTCCTTGCAACTTGCAACTTGCAACTTTGGCATTCAGCTTGTTTGTGCAATTTATATATATGTATACATACATATATATTTCCTCAATTGAATTTCACACAGATAAACCGCCGGGCATCGTTGTACTGGGCGCCTCCTTGGGGCTTCCAAATCGAAACTTATTAATTTTCAAACGAGTTCGCCAAAGGCCGGCAATGAACCAAACGTTATAGCCAGTGGACCATCGATGATGCCGATGCCGATGCCGATGCCCATGCCTATGCCTATGCCTATGCCTTGGTCTATGCCGCTGTCGATGTCCGACGGTCGATACTCGATCTCGGCGGCCATTTATCAATTCATGAGTTTGGCATCGATTTGGTTGGTAGCCATGGTTCACGACAAGGTTCAAGCCAGCCATTTAACGTGAATTGCGAGTGTGAAAACGGCAAACGAATGGCGAATGGCGATTGCCGATTGCCGGGTGGAGGAGAGCCTGAGGGACTGCAATCGGCTGGCTAGCTGACAGTGTCGCATTAGGCGTGCAGGTGTCCATTTAATTGACAGCTAACGAGCCGCAACGGCAAGTTCTTAGCCCCAAAAACTAGGCGAACAGGGCCTTCAAATTGTGTATAAATATCCAGCTGGGAGAGCTGAGACCAAAGCGTTGCAGATCACATTTCAGCTCGATTTCATTTTATTTTCAATTTTTAATCAAAATATTCATATTCGACAACAACCGATTAATTCAGAATTATACATTTTTCGGGAAATGCATTCAGCTTAAGCTCTGATTCAGTTTCAGTTTATTCCGATCCGTAAATACAATAGGGACCTCAACTAAACATTAATCTGCTGAAGTCTCGTCTTGGGTCATCGGTGCTAGGTATTCTGCAAATAGCATGTTAATCATTTCATCGCAACGACGAGTTGATCTCTGGATTTTCCGTAATTCGCAGCGAATCCCGACAAACTCATCGGTGCTCAAGAGGCCGTTCGTCTGCTCATCGTCACTTTCGCTAGAGTCCAACGGCCTTGAGCTCCTGGACAATTGGATTACACTTTTGGCTGAGGAGTCCCCGTTGACCAACGTGTTATGTCCACTGCTATCTGCGCCACTGAGCTGGCTTTGTAATTTTTGATCCGTCACAGGTGTTAATCGTCCGCTTGCGAGTCGGCTTAGCTCCTCTCTGGACAATTGATGACTTGTGACTCGGCTTGGTTTCTTTTCCGAAAATAGCTCGCTTTCGATGCGCGTCAGTATATCTGCTGTCAGATGCTTGAGGCTGGGTCGCCTAGATTCTTTTCCCGATAACTGCCTGCCTTCAGGAAGAGTCAGTTTCTCCATGCTTGCATGTGGAGTCAATTCCTCGGACAACCATTGACTGCTTTCAGATGGACTCAGCTCCACTTCCGACAGTTGTCCGCTTTCGAGTGAAGTTGGCTCCTCTCTCGGCAATGCTTGGTCTGTAACTGGAGTCCGTCCATCTCCTGACAATTGTCGGCTCACGAAAGGCGTCATACTCTCTCCCGATTGTCTCCCGACATTCCTTTGCGTCGCGTTCAATGCGCTAGAGCAGCCCAATCCCATGATTACAGATGCTACGGGATCGAGCACATTGTTCGTACCGCCCGACTCACGATATGTATTCATAATTGACATGGGTGACGGAAAACGAGGACAGCTGCCGAGTAGATTCGATATGTTTAGTTCCTGTTCCAACTCGTGTTGTGCCATGGACAATATTTGCCAGATGGAAATGTCCGCCGCTTGCTGACCGCATTTCTCATTATATTTGCGCTGCTCCTCGTACATGAGCCAGCGCAGTTCACTGAGATTTTGCCAGCGCTTGAATCGCTCCTTACGTCGCTCCTCCATCTCTTCCGCTTGTTTTATCAACAATCTGCGGCAGTTTTTCTGCTGCTGCGACAGCTTCTGCACCTCTTCTGGCAGCATATTCAGCTGCCGGCACCAGTATAGCACGTTCTTGATTCTCAGCAACTTTTCGCGATGGGCGGACGAACTCGCACTATCCTTTCTGGCCTTACCGTTCATTCTGGCACAGCATAAGGATTTTTTTTTTTTTTTTTTTTTTTTTTTTTTTTTTTTTTTGTATACTTTGATAACAGAAAATCTTTAAAAATAATTCAAACGTCGAACGCCATGACAACTAAATTCCTATGCTCAACTTACCCACAGAGCTAATGATGTAGGTGGCCGGCGGCTTGAGCACGCTGCGGGCAAAGGCGCCTCGCAGCACCTCGAGGGCGCACGGCTCAGCGGTGACCAGTAGCATTCCCGGTGCCACATGTCCAGCATATTTGAGCGCACGTGTCGCGGCAGTCAGTGGAGCATTCCACCAGCATTGCGCATTCGCGGCAAGGAAATTCTGAAAGCATCAAATAGAAATAGTTTTCAAACGACAAATTCAACAAGAGACAAATTCATAGCAGGAAAAAACTTAAAATGCTATACATTCAGTTCCGTTTTGGTTTTTGGATTGTAGACAAACTGGCATTTAAATCAACCTGCAAAACCCTTTCGGGGTGGCAAAGTCTATAGTTTTTGGCCGATAAGATGACCTGATCTATATGATATTATACGCTAGGAATATGAAAGCCTGTCGCCCGAAATTTTCGGCAGGAGCGATAGAATTTACACAAAACGAGCCGATATCATTTTATCGAGCTGCTGGAACAAATTCCAATCGATGGAATATACAAGCAATAATATTAAAAGAACATTGGGGGTTAACTGTTGTCCCATCCTGTATTCCGATACGTTTTTTAGGTTTCTCGAGGATTATTTAGCAATTATCGTGATTGAAGTTCATATCATAGCGTCAGGTTTGAGCAGGAGAAATGCTAGGAGCTTATGGAGCACGCACTGAAGTGGTGGAAATAACCACTTACTTGTTCAGGAAATATCGGCAATCAACGATCAACAAGACTCATTGGAGAGAATCAATTCCTGAGCTTCTTATGTGGCAGCCGCACTAATTGACAAATTGCAGTGCAGCAAGTGGCATAATTGAGTTAAACCGCCTGCATGGGCTGCCGGCCTGGCGGGCTGCTTGAGCGTTATCCATCTGTGGGCGTTCGTAGTGTAGCCCAAACCAAACCAGTTGGCAGCCGTCAATTAGCTAAGCGGATCGTGGCACGCCCCTCAACAAAAGACCGCCAACCATCTACCACTCGGCAACAGCGAATGCAACATATTTGCTGAGGAGGCGCCACAAAGACGCTGCATCATTGCCCCAATCGTTGTTTTTGCTGTTGCTGTTGTTGTTGTTGTTGTTGTTGTTGTTGGGGTTGGTGTTACGAAAGAAATGAAAAATCCTCGACACGTTCTGCCCCATATAATTCCATAGAAATGGCAGCATTGCATTTATTTCTTTTGCTGCTTTTTATCTACGTTTTTCTCTGCTTCGATTTTTGCAAATTTTATTTCTATTCCCAACACTTTTCAAACTTCTGGCCGCGAGCAACAAATAAATGTCCAATTTGTGCGGTGACAGGAACACTTGAGGCACGTTTCTGATGTAAACATGGCCAGGGATCGAGCAAAAAGTCACAGGCCTAGGACAGGGCATGGCATGGAAGGAAACACACAGCGGTAAAGGCCGATGCCAAGCGAGTGTGGGGGAGCTGCTGGGGAATAGGCTAGGAAATGCATTGCTGGTTTAAAGTGCAGTCAAAGGTTTTGTCGAAGTTTCTCTTTGGTTTCACTCAGCGATTACCATTGTCGATGCTTTTATAGTTTCACGCTAATGAACATCACCCAGTTTTATTTTTGTGGCCGCAGCGATTTGACCTTTTCGATGCCATTTCTCGATGTGGTCACTCCTTGGCTTTAATGTCGCCACCAGCGCATCGAGTGTTATACAATGGAGTCGCTGGCAGACCGACCTCATGCATCCAGCTTGGGGCGCTCAGCTAATGCATGTGCTGGCGCAAAAATTAACTCGTCATTGCCTGATGCAGTCGTCAGCGCAATCATCTGACTCCCTCCAGACACACATTCACACTCACACACATATGGAATCGCCCAGCCCATAGCAAAGGGGGCGTCTTTGGCTGTCACGCGCCGCCATCAGATGACAACGTCCGAGCTGCATTATCTATGCAATCATAATCCGGGACTGAGCCTCTGCTCACTAATTTCTGCCCCATCATCGTCGGCATCTACATCAACATCATCATCACAATCATCAGCATCAGCATCAGCAGCAGCAGCAGCAGCAGCAGCATCATCATCTGCATCAACATCAGCACGAGGCCTGAAGGCGTAGCAGTCGCTGCAGCTGATGGCATCCCAAAATGTTTATGTCTTTGTCGTGTTTCATTTTCGCTTTGAAATGCTCAGTTTTGGTGTTTTGGGCTTTCGGAAGTAATGCGAAACTTTTAATAATCGAATTAAAAGTGCACGCCGCTGGCGTCTGCTATGAAAGTCTTTAAACCTTAACTTAAAGTTGACTTTGGCGTTTTCTCATCACCTTTTGGTGGTGGTGCTGCTGCTGGTGCTGGTGCTGCGGCTGCCGTTTGATGGCGCTTTCATTGGACTTTTACTTGATGCCAAGCTATGGAAAACCAAGCAACTAATACTCCCACCAAAAAAAACAAAAAACACAACAACAACAAAGATCAGTAAAAACTTTGAGTCCGCGACGTGCGGTGGCTGTAAAAAGACAAAACTATCACCAGACTGCAGCTCCGAGATGAGTTTACTCGACGAGTCGAGTCAAGTCGAGTGCTTCGGTGGAGGTGGTGGTGCGGCAGGCGGCTCATGTGCAGCTGAATCTTTCACTGTGTGTATGCCGCTGTTGAAGATAATAACAATCTGCAAACAAATGTGCATCGCAGTGGGACAGACGGACAGGCGCTGCCGAGATTTGAGGACGGCCGCATATAGAGTTATAATGAAGTATAATAATCCTTGACCTTACCGCCAACAACAATAAACTGGCGGCAAGCACTTATAACTGAAATAATAGCAAAGGCACACGAAAGACAAAAATAATAAAGATAAAGGCCACAAAACGTTTTCTTTCTCTATGGTATAGTCGATTCCAGTGATTAGAGATTGCTTGTTTCTTTATTTTTACAGGCAGTGGAAATAATTAACGGAACCTGGGGAATCATAAAAGAAAAGATTATAACCATCCTCCTGACCTGATCTTGACTTGAAATAAATCAAATATCCCACCAAACTTGCCTTTATCTAATTCTCAACTTGTTACTCCCCCTCGGCATATTATTTTAGATGGCAAGAGATCTGTTTTTATTATATCAGATTAAAGTAATTTAACAAAAATCAAAATTAGATATAGCGTTCCTAATAACTAACATTAATGAATACTTGATCATTTTACAGAAAACAGAAGTCAAGAACTGACACTACTTAAAGCTGGTCACATTCTTACTTTTAGCTTCGCATAATTATCTTTCTAAGCGCAAAGAATACAGACAATACTAAAGTAGCTGGGAACTCCTATTATTTAAATAAGCCTCTCCTACATAACATATGAGTATTAATTTGAGAAAAAAAAAAAAAAAAACAATTTAGAATCATACACAAACTAAGTGTTTTGCCGGGGGATTCAGTAACCCTATCTGATCAATAAATAAGTATGTTAACTATTCGCTACACTTTACACTAACATCATTAGTTTTCTGAGTACATACACACATACATACATATGTATGTATATGTATCTGAGAACTATCATTATTCATGTGACTAATGCGATTTTGTAAGTTTCTCAGCAATTTCTATTTGTCTTGCCTCGTGCTCATTCACACAATTAAAGAACGCGTCCCATCCCACGAGCTGCGAGTCTCTGTTCTATCTGAGGGCTTCATCTCTTTGGTTCGTCTGGTCATTTCATGCCGTGGTCAATGACTGTCGTTGTGTTGCGGATTGTGCTCGGTGCTCAGTGACCGGGTCGAGGTTCTGCTTAGTCCATAAGACTAAGCACTTGTCGGAAGCGGCTGCTTGCATAAATATGCGAGCACAATTCCAATCAATGCGGCGAGGCAGCTGATAAGCGCACAAATTGCATAGTCCAGAGGGGCGCAACGCCCACTGCAGATTGAACAACCCTTGGCCGGGGAAGGGCCGGCAGCTGAGGCAGGGGTGAAGTGGGCGGCGTCTTTACAGATTCCCCGCAATTTGCACTGCACTTAAACTGCCAACTCGATTTGGTAAGCCGGCCGTATGCCTTGGGCACTGACTGTGGTCGACCCGGAGGGTTGGGACCGACTGCTGGGTGCCGTTGGGTTCATTGACCAGAGATATCCACAAAATCTAGTCTTGGCCTGCACATGCGATTTGTTTTATTAGTTTTTGCCGAGGGCTTAAGCAATGTTTATATTGCCAAAACAAATTGCAATGGCAGCTGCTGGCACAAGTCTTTGCTGGGACTGGCACACATAAAAAGCGTGCATTTATATACATATATATATATATATATATATATGTATATCTGTATATATTTGTATAGGTGATATTTGGCAATCCTTTGGCTCCGATGACCAGCAATTAATAACAAATATCATCTAGACCCTGCCCAACTGCAAGCCCAACTGAAGTCAATTCAATTCGCATTGATTTTGACTCAGCTCTTTAAGCTGCAGCTTACTTCGTGATCCTACCCTCTTGGCAGCGAGCCCCACTTGCCTATCTGCTGGCCTGTCAGTTCTTTGCAAACTTTCCGAATTGCAAAACTTCTGGCAAATAAATCTGCGCCATTCAATGAAACTAAAAAACAATGTACAAAAATATCAGCTGCTGAAAATCAGCGCTTCAATTTAAAACCGAAGCGTGAAAAGTCTATTAGGTTGACGCGACGTTCGAAAAACTGTGGGAACAATGAAGTCTGCTCCAGTCTGCTCCATCCGCAGCCAGCTCCAATTCCAGTCAGACATCCACTCCGCCGCCTGCCGTCCGCCTTGACAGACTTGCCCCATGAGCTGTTGGAGCTGCCACCGCGTTGCACCTGTTTACTTGGGTTCTTTCGCTACTTTTAAGTTTGATTTGCTTCCTAGTCTCTGCAGCTGTGTTGACTGCCCTTGTTATACCCTATCC